CCCCAAAACCCCAAAACCCCTTAAGTTAAATTTCTTAATAAATAAGACAGTATGAATGATAAAAAAATTTATAAATCTAATAGCAATTATTCTATCACAGCAACGTGATTTTAAGGAACTTTGTCAAATTTCGTTTATCAAATATAAAATCTAGTTTTTTTGCTGTTCTTATTCATCATTCAACTTTGGAAAATCTTCCTAGCATTTGCATATATCAAATCTTTTAGCCAAACAAAACAGGACTGTTTTAAGTGACATATAGCCTCTATCAAATCCCTTAATTCTCATTTTAGTGTAATCGTTGAGGAAGCATGGTCCAAAGCCATCCTTATCAACTATCAAAGGCAAATATTTAAATTGTTTCAAAAGGCTTTTCTCACTTTAATTTGTTGGGTTTTCCTTTACCTAATCTTGTAAAGCTTGTTTTACCATAGGCCCAAAGTTAGAATACTCACTCAAAAATTAATTGTAGTCAACAATCTTCTTATCTATATTCTATTGTGTTTCTTGTAACTATTGTTAGTTGAACTTAAGAAGCTATTACCATTGATTAAAATCAGATGAGAAGGTTATAGACATCATTTCTTCAACTTAAAATGTCTCTCTTGAAGACTATTAGCCTAATTCAATCTCTTCTACATCATCTGCATCTGCATCTTCATTATTATTTTATAGATTGTTTTTAAATGGGTTTCTGATTGCTTGCTGATTAGAGGGCCCATTTAGGCCTTACTAATTCATCATTGCTTTGAAAAAATTAGATTTTACAACATCTTGCTTATTAAAGCAATCCCTTATAAATTAGAATAAGCATTGCAGACTTTAATTTATACCTCCAGTCATTGCATTAATTGCTATAAAATCATCCTCTCTTTTTTTATATGGCTGTTTTTATTGATTTTCAGTAGTTTGCATTGACTCGTTAAGATTCAATAGTCTAATGAATATCTGTGACTGATTTTATATATCAAGCTCGCCTTATTTATCTTAGTAAAAGGGATCATTAATTATTGCCTCTAGATTTTTGAAATCTGTTGTCAATAGGTAAATTGTATTGCTAAGGAAAGTTTCAAAAGCCTAGATCATCAAAAGCTTGTTTAAAATATTTAGCATATCTTAATTAATCCCTGAAAACTTTTACCCATTTATTTAGCTGATCATGTGATTTATCAAGCAGGCCTCCATAAAGCTATTAGATTTAGTAATTAAGTATCTCAAAAAAATAAGATCATACAAATATTAGCGATTTCTACCCCTACTCGGTACTATGGCTATATACTAAGAGAGAGTGCTTTGCAATGAATCACAAATAATTTCAATTAAAAACTTATTTCCGAAATCTCCTGCAATATCGATTTACTTAGACTCTGTTATAATTTATCTAAAAGTCCTTATTAATCCAAGCAATCCAGGAGAGGGCAATAGCACAATCATTTTTTGTTTGCTATTATTTTCCTAATCAGCAATAAGCCATGATGCAGATGTTGTGTTTTCTCTATGATTATTCCACTTGCATGTCCATAGACTTGAAAGTATATTGGTATTTATCCGTTCATTCATTAGTTACACATATACATCCATGACATGATTAAACGTTTGAAGGTATTTCAAATGAATCTCGGCAACAATTTTTTCCATTTAAATGAAGTTCTCGTCTGTTTCATCATATTTTCACTCAATATCTGACTTCAAATACTTATGATACATTTCAGCTTTTAATCTTATGTATAAAATTTCAGAGATGATACTAATGAAATTCGATGTTTACATCACTTGCTATAGACTTGTAGTGTTTTAAATTATATCAAGAGTTTAGTTACAATATTTCATCATTAGATTTTTAAGGTTTGTAAAAAGCTATGCTTAGATTATGTATGAACCTTGATAATCTTCCTTGAGTTATAGAGATAGTTTGTCTAGAAATAAGCAAAAGTAGTCCTTTAATTTTTATGTAACTACGAGTGAGCAGTCATTTTTGAAAATATTCAGAGTCGAGAATTCTTGAATGCATATTTGTACCTGCTTTTCAGGCCCACGTAAGATTTTAGCACTAATATTTTGTTGTTGTATATTTATTTAAGGTTCCTATACTGCATTGCTATTTACTTTAGATAATGAGGTATGCTGCTCTCTTTGTATTTCTATCAACTAGCTATTTTTACTAGGTCTTGATGTTTGAATGGACTTTTTGGGAACTTTTCTCATATCTCGATCTACAGAGCTCATTCGCTGATTGAATCTCCTCAAATCCTCTGTGTTGTTTATTGATGTATCTGCTATTCCAATTTTATTAGATTTTCTGTTACTTTTCTAATTTTGACTTGCCCTAATGAATAAAGAGGAAGATCCGATGGAAAATGCCTATTTTTCATTAGAGAACGATATAAACGGGTTCATCATTTTTTCAATATAATTTTAAATTAAACTTTTAGCATTGATTTTTATTCATGGGGTTTTGGGGTTTTGGGGTTTTGGGG